GTATTCAGGCTGATTTACTAGTAAAAGTAAAACGTACTCCATTACAACTTTGAGTTCTACGTTACTTTGAAAAGTATTTAGGCTGTTATTTTCACTCCTAAGCAGTGGTGGAAAGGGACGAATTTACTTACTCAGGTTTAGTGCTTAAGTACAGTTTTGAGTTCGGCTACGTGTACTTTAATCGAGTATTTCTATTTAATGTTATTACATATTTATACTGCAGAATACTTCAAAGGTAAATATCGTACTTTTCACTCCACTACATGACAGCTGTGGTTGCTTTTCAGACTAATAATCCAAAGTTTAATCAGTAATGATTAATGACATGTTGTTAGAGGTTCAGAGTATTTGATCCCCAGGAGGAAATACACCAACTACTCAGTATATGAAGTATATGAACTGAGCGAAATGAGCTGCACCTTCACCAGCTGAAACTTTAAAGCGATGAACAATTAATGTGTCAGTAATTGTAATTCAAGGAGACATATTGATTTTAAAGTGAGTCATTCTGTATAATGAGTGTTTTCTTTATTTTTTATGTACTTTGAATATAGTTCTGTAGTAATACTTTTGTACTTTTACTTAGGTAACATTTTGAATGCAGGACTTTTAGTGTTGTGCCTCATCCTGTCAGTTTATTACACTTATTAGGAACTTTTCAAAGGATATTTAGAAGTTTTTGTTCTCTCACAACAAGTGAACAGTCCAGGACCAGCGGAGCTGACACTTGGTTCTCTGCTACTCAGACACTGTAGAAATACAGTGAAATTTTAATTTGATCTCTTTCCAATAATGATGTGGCCTTATTTAAAAACACATGGATGGCTGAAATTTTCTGATTTGACCCCAAATCCTATCTTAAATACCCTTTTTCCTTTTAAAAAGCTCTTAAACAATATGGAAATTCACTCTTAGATACCCACAGTTAAAACAGTTTTCTTGCTGTGCCCCCTTCAGACCCTCTACAGACCCTCTCCTGGTTAAAGAACTGGCCTGAAGACCAGGTCCTGAGCATCCATCTGGACCAGACCAATAGCATGGATGAGTCAAACCCGGGCACCTTGGCTGCTCACATTAAGACAGAAGTTTGCAGTGAGGACTGTGGAGCATCAGAAGCAGACTTTGATCCAGCAGGCGGTGCTGACGCAGCGAGCAATGGCCGACTGCACACTGAGCGCTCTGACACTGATGACAGTGGAGACTACTGGAGGGAGGCCTCAGGACTGTGGCAGCCAGAGGAGTCAGGAGAGACAGAAGGGCAGAGTTCAGAGGGGAGGAGCTGCACTGGTCTGTCACACCAGCTCCCCCCGGTGTTCAGCTGTAAAGTCTGTGGTGAGGCCTTCCAGCAGAGGACTTATCTCCTCACTCACACTTTGGCACATCTGAGAGACTGTGGCGTGTGCGGGAAACATCTGGAGCATGGCGAGACCCTGAAGCTGCATCTCAGAGTTCACAGAGAATCATCGTTCCACTGCAGCGTCTGCGGGCAGAGATTCACCCTGAGGGACAACCTGAGGACGCACATGAGGATCCACTCAGGCGAGCGCCCATACAGCTGCACTGTCTGCGGGAAGAGCTTTGGCAGGAGGGCCACACTGGTGCAACATATCCGCAGCCACATGGGCGAGAAGCCGTTCATTTGCACATACTGCGGCCGTGGCTTCGTGGAGAAGGGCAACCTGACAGTGCACCTGCGGACGCACACTGGCGAGAGGCCATACTGGTGCTCCCTGTGCGACTAGGGCTTCAGCCAGTTGTCCAGCTTCTACAAACATCCCTGTGAGAGGATGGGCCTGAGCTCCACCCTGGTTAGCCCCACCTGACTGCCTGGAAGCAAGAAGGCCAAGGTTAAACATTTCTACGGCAGGAACATGACAACCCATAACTTCACATGTATCCAGCACCATGGCATCTGTGTTGTCTGTGTTTCTAAAGAAAGGTAGTACAGCATTAATAAAGCAGCAGGTAGATGCTGTGTACACGCTGTTGGGGGAGGACATTACTAGTTTTACCTACATTTTCCAGTAGTGAGCTGTTTCCCCACTAAGTGGCAGAAACTACCAGGCTGTTTTGTATTGACCTTTTAGAAAACATGATCCTGCTGTGGGTTCAAGCCCCCGTTCTTCACCGTCACCTGACTGAGGAGAGAATGTAGCAGTGGTCAGCTGGGTGGCAGCTGGTGTAGGGTCAGTCTCCTTCATCCTCTGATCCAGCTGTTAGGATGGAGACCCAACTTGAGTCCTCAAGCAAAATAATTTATATCAGGAACCATCTGGTCAGAAGACAAACCTAAAATAAAACCTGACCAGACAGTTGTTGCTAACTCTCAGTAGTGTTCAGTAAAGGTCTTGGACCTCTAACAGATTTTATTATTCGTTTAATACATGATAATCAGAAATCACTTTTAAGTTATTAGAAATAGATGGATTTAAAACGTGTCATTAGTCGTCCTCTACAGCAGAGGGCGTGTGATTTTCAGTTAAATGACTAGTGCTCATGCGCATTAATATTAACCAGGAAGTTTAGCAAGTAAACAACTGTCAACGACGCTCAGAGAAAAGATTTTTCCTGTTTTCTCCTCAGTCCTCGGTCCAAACTGCCTTTAAAATGTCGAAAATAGAGATGCTGAGGGTCTTGATCAACCAGCGGCTCACCGCGGCCGCAGAGGAGATCTTCGGGGTGTTCGGTAGGACAATAGCTGAGTACGAGGAGGAGCTCTCCCGCTCCAAGCTGGAGATCGAACGCCAGCGCCGGCTGTTGGACCTCTCCACGAAGCCGCAGATATCTCTGCAGATCAGCAGCACAGGTAAATGTTTCACTACCATAAGAGTAGAAACGGGCATTAAGAGAAAGCCTAACAGGAATCCCCCTCAACATGGCCGCCTGAAAACTCTAAACTGCCCAAAGTGTAAATGTACTCAAAGTACTAACACTGAGCCCAGCCTAAATACGTATTTCGATTTTAGTCCGTACATGATGTTGGAGATTTGGCATAAAAGGATATTTTGAACCCGTACTTTGTAAGAGTTACTACTTTTTCACTGCGGTCAAACCGTGAAACTGAAGTGCGCCCGTATACCAACCTTTACGGTAAAGGTTTGGAATCGAGTTAGTTACTCAGATTAAACTTGCCGGAGTCGTGATGCATGCTATCGCCATCCTGCCCTTTCTAAACTAAAGCATCTTAAGAAGAAACATGGCTTTATACTTGGGGTCCAGGTTACAGCGCATTGGATGTAAAAAGGCAAATAGTCACACTCAACGTTTATTGTCTATATGGTCGAAGGCAGCTTTGTGTTTGCCAAGTAGGGAAACGGACATTTAATGAATTATCCGTTTGCTGAACAAAATTTACACGTTTGTGACTGGAAATAACCTCAGCTTCCGTATTTTAGGGCAAATAAAACAACACTGGTTCAGGGCTTTCACAGAAATGCAGATTTTTCTGTTACAGAGGCGGCGGACTACAAGCTCACACAAATCAAGCTTTTCACTGTATCTTGGAGTTTTTCAAATTATGTCTTACATTTGTACTTGAAAATAACCTTTGTATGAAATTTGAGGCCACATAAAAAACCTCACTGGTCCCTAATTCCTGACAAGGATCGACACTGTTTTGTTTTAGGAGGAGGACTACAGCTTCACAAAGAATCGAGCATTCTTACCTCCTCATGGATGATTTAAAATTCTTTTATTGTAGCGTTTGTAAAATCTGTATAGCATCATACAGTATCATGACACAGCTGAGCTGAAGGCAGAGGAGTGGTATTCAAATAAAGTCTACAGTCATACAGATCTCATTTTTTTAGAAAGGTTTTCCTTGTTTGAAAATTTGACCAGTTATAGTCTACAGTCATACAGATCTCATTTTTTACCAGTTATGTATGTGAAACCTGTTGTCTGTTTCTTGCTGTGACTGGCAGCTATCTCCGAGCAGCGGGAGTGGCGCTCCGACCTGGATGAAATGAAGCCTCCTCACATCAAAAAGGAGGAGGAGGATCTGTGGCCAGCTCAGCAGGAGGAGTCGCCCCAGATCACAGAGCAGAACGACGTTAAGTTTGTGTTGTTCCAGAGCGGCGATGTGAGAAACGAGCAGGAGAACAACCACATGACCTCCTCGCTCCCATGCCAGGACCCAGGTGATTCAGGGCTCGACCCCCACCTGGGGACCTCAGTCCAACAGACCTGCTCCGATCTTGATGAGGACGCTCCTGAAACTTCAGATCCAGCTTCAGGTAATGGCCAGCCCAACTGTGCCGAACTGGAAGCTCTGCTGTCTGAGGTGGTGGACTCGTACATTTGCACCATCTGCGGCCGAGCGTTTGCTCAGCGCGTCCACTGGACCAAGCACATGCAGATGCATCGGAAAGTAGGGACCAAAGTTGACAAGTCATACACGTGTGACATTTGTGGGAAGAGACTCACACGGTTTGATGGCTACCAGAAACACCTGCGGATCCACACGGGCGAGAAGCCGTACTGCTGCGACGCCTGCGGCCGCAGATTCAGTGACAACTCCAACTACAAACGGCACATTCGCACACACATGGGACCAAAAACACAGCAGAGCTTGGGCTGAAGATACGTCGAGCTTCATGTCGAACCTTCGTCTTAGCAAGAGACAAACAAACCACAGCTGGGACACGTCTTCGCTGACGTGGATCGTCCTGATGTTTCTGTCTCCATTTTTGCCCCCATCCACACTGAACTGCTGCTTTTGTCTGTGACAGTGCGGCTCACTGAAAAATCTTTCCAGAGTGAAACAGACCTCAGCACATCGGCATTGCATTTGAGAGTGGACACAGGAAACACCAGTTTATAAGTCTGTGTTTTTTAGTGTAAGTGAGAATCTGCTCTCACTTTGTCATCTCAGACTCTCTGAGCTTCCACATGATGGTGATCACACGAATCCCCAGTTAGCTGCTTTTGTAACTTTTTACTGTTATGACTGATCAGGCTCCTGGTGTCACCCTCTAAAATTGGTGAATTCACTGAATGATCACAGCGAGTCAGAGGAGACAGAACAGACCCAGAGAAGAACCCATTTTGTTCTGCCATTAAACAGAAGAGAAGGATAATGGCATTTCCCAGCAGTTTTCTTGCACCAACCTTTCATTGTTTACAGATAAACTGATGAGAAGCTGTTGGCATGTTAATGGATTTTTCATATTTATTCATGTTAATATGAGTATCGGCCTCAGCGAGAAAGAAGAGACGTGCTGTATTTTTATATATATTTAACAGACATTTGTACACTGGAGGAAACAGTGTTGTCGCAGACTGGTGAAGCTTGTGTCCAGTAAAGATCTTTTAGTTTTTTAATGGTAACGAGTGCAGAGGTGTGCAGCACAAAAACCATGGTTTTGATTTAAGGCAGAAGAACATGGAAACAAAGAAGTGTGCACTAGTGATGTCCAATTGACACCATGACACCTATATCGAACCACTGCATCATTTGTATCGAGTATTGGTTCATTCATTCAAGGGTTCAGATTAGTGCCATCTGGTGGCGAAATAGTATGCAGCAGAACAATGTCTGAATTATGTGATGGGTGTAACTAGGCTTTGTGTGAATGATGTGACAACGTTTGTATAGATTGATTGGTCAGTCAGTCCAGTCTGAACATATGTAGTTTAGTAGGAGCGGGAGAATGCGTGCTTGGGGGAACAGAGGATGTGTTAGGATGGTAATATGTGCGTATGTAACTAGGACAGGGTGTGAATAAATACAAGGGATGGAGAATCAATCATTTTTATTCAAGAACAAAAGTTTCTCCACTGTCTTTGGACCGATCAGCTGAAAGTGTTCCCACATTGGAGAA